TATGTACTACACAAAAATATATAGCAACATAAAAAAATGGTGCATAAAAAATGTGTATGCCACGATGAAAGAAACATGCACAAAAAAATGTGCCATCACCGTACAAAATACATGTGCAACACATGCATATCATGTGTAAAAAGTATTGAATACAGGAGTGGGGGAGGGCGGGGTGAGGCTGTGTATTGGCACATTAAGCTGGCGGACAACACCTTTTAACTGACTGTCCACAGCAGTTTAAAAAAACTATCTGTCGCAGATTCACCCAGTCCTCAAACATTCAAACTCTAAAAAAACTTAGTGATAAAGCCATGCCTTGACATATCGGCGACCAGAGGCCACCAAAGATGGTAACTCATTAATAATCTGAGGAAAATTTCCTGTGAGGTAACTTGGCACTCTATGTTACAGAATTATGGCATTTATTGTGATAGCCTGTGTGTTATTGTTATTATTATTATTATTATTATTAGCTTAAAAATTTAACAACAAATTACTCTAGTCTAAGTGTTTTTGAGTCGTCGCCTAAATTGGCAGCCAGACAAGTAAAGGAATTTCTTGGAAAACTCTGAAAACTCTGAAAATAGTTTTGATTTGGAAACTGATACTTGTTTCATACTTTTATTAAATGAATAGCCTATTTTAATCATACTTCACAGATACTGTGCAGGGATGTTTTTCATGGCCTATTGTTTAATTTAATTTTTTTGTGCAGACAGTTAAAAGTGCATCTGGTAGTAACATTATCTTGGGTATAACATGACTTTATCCCATTAGTATCTCTAATATTACTCTTATTTCCTTCTTGTATTCCAATCATTTGAAATTTTCCTGCTTTCCAACTTTCAGGAAATTATCAAAATAGCTGTCACATGACTATTAAAACAAAACCTTGAACTTTGCAATGAGACTGCAACTTGGAATAATTTTTCCGAATCTAATATTGATGATAAAATTAATTTTGTTCTTGGGGATAGGGGGGGGGGGGGAAAGGAAATAATCTCTTTAATGATGATGTTCAATCTGCATTTGACAGATATTGTAAAACATTTGCTAAAAAAGCTTGGGATAGAAGATCGGATTTAAAAACAGGTTAAATGCATTGTTGCTTTAGTAATACATATATTTCTTTTTTTTTAAATTTATTTTCTTGTATATACTATAC